CCCCCCCCCCCCCCCTCCTCCCAGCAATCCCAGCCTTTGGCCCTGGCCCAGACCACCAAAAACCAGACCAGACCTCTTGTGGACGCGTCCCCATCGGTTGGGTGGATCAGACTCTCCAATCGACAAACACCGAAACACACCTGAACGACAAGGGGGAAACTATTCTCTCCCCTGCCACTCGCTTCAGTTCTCGCCTTTGATTGCTTTTTGCATCTGCTGCATGTCGCGATACTCCAGGTAGAGCAGGCTTTCTGTTCTCGATAGATTTCGTCTTCTTCTGTTTCTTCTTGATTATTTCTTGTTTTTAATCGGGTGCCGACACCAGAGAGAGAGGAGGCAACCCCTTTTATCACGACACCACCGCACCACTGGCGGCCGATTGGATTTCCCGCCAATCGCGAATCCCACGTCGATTTTAGAGAAACACTCCGGCGGACACATCACGACACATATACAACGTGGCGACCGACCGACCGACGACGACGACGACATCTATAACCAAAACACCACCGATAACTCCTAATACACACACGAAAGAGCGAGGGCGATAGCACCACCTCGCCATCGTCGTTCCCTTTCGGCTCCGGCAGCGCCATACACCGCCTTCACAATGGACCTCCTCCGTCAGCTCGGGGGGCTCCTCCCCGGCGGCAGACCGCCCCAGCTCCCCCTCGGCCAGGGCGAAAAGGACAAGCCAAGGAGGACACTGGCACAGCGCCTTCAGTATCTTAGGACACCCCTCAGGTTACGAGGCAACTCGAGCATATCTGTGCCTTTGGGCGTCGTCATCTTCTTCCCCTGCATCGTCGTCATCCTCATCCTCGTCCTGTTCGTCAGGCATCCAAGCTCCCCAGGCCGCATTTTGATGCCCGCCGGTGCCCCTCCCGGCATCAGGTACGTTACTCCAGAGTAGTGCTCAGCTATAGCTCCCTCACCGCCTTTGGTCTTCAACAAGCAATGCGCTAACAACTTTTTGTTCAACAGGAGAATCAGCGAAAAGTACGACAAGGTCTTCGTCACCGGCTGCCTCGAGCCCGACACCAGCAAGCCCCGCGTCAATGGCGCCTTCGTCGTCCTCGCCAGAAACAAGGAGCTGGACGGTGTCATCCAGTCCATCAAGTCCATCGAGCGCCACTTCAACCGCTGGTATCACTACCCCTACGTCTTCCTGAACGATGGCGACTTCGACGACACCTTCAAGGACACCGTCAAGAACTACACTTCCGCTCCCGTCGAGTTCGGCAAGGTTGGCCCGGACATGTGGGGTTTCCCTGACTGGGTCGACCCCAAGGTCGCAAAGGAGGGTATCGCTAAGCAGGGTGACGCCGCTGTCATGTACGGTGGCATGGAAAGTTACCACTCCATGTGCAGATTCTACTCTGGGTATGTCTGTCCTGCGATTCGGGGTTATGCGCAAGCTAGGTACATCTGCTAACACTGCACACGCAGTTTCTTCTACAAGCACGAGCTTCTCCAGAAATACGAGTGGTACTGGCGCTTGGAGCCCGAGATCAAGTACTTCTGCGATATCACCTAGTATGTCCTCCCTCCTCTTCTGTGTGCCCATCCCCAGAACATCCCACTAACATGGTACCACCCCCAGTGACCCCTTCCTCAAGATGGTCGAGAGCAACAAGACCTACGGCTTCACCATCGCCGTCAAGGAACTCCGCGAGACCGTCCCCAACATCTTCCGCTACGCCTCCGCCTACAAGCGCCTCAACAACATCACCTCGCAGGGTCTGTGGGAGATGTTCGTCGAGCCCCAGCCCGAGAAGAAGCCCGAGACTCCTGAGCCTGGTCTTCCCGAGGAGATCCTGCGCTCCGACCCCGGCGCCAACAAGCTCCCCGACATTGACCCTGAGGCCATGGAGGGCGAAAAGTACAACATGTGCCATTTCTGGTCCAATTTCGAGATTGCCCGCTTGGATTTCTTCCGTTCCAAGGCCTATGAAGATTTCTTCCAGATGATGGATCACAGTGGTGGCTTCTGGATGGAGCGTGTACGTGCCCCGTTCTTTGCCTTCTTTACCTCGCTTTCCCCGTTTACTCGCTAACAATCATCACAGTGGGGAGACGCCCCAATCCACTCCCTCGCCGCCGGCGCCCTCCTCGGCCCCAAGGACATCCACTACTTCCGCGACTTCGGTTACCGCCACACCACCATCCAGCATTGCCCCGCCAACGCGCCCGCCCGCCAGCTGCCCCGCGAGCCCTACCTCGAGAAGACCACGCTCGACGAGAAGAAGCGCATCGAGGAGGACAAGTACTGGGATGACTACGATACCCCCAAGGAGAACGGCGTCGGATGCCGCTGCAGGTGCGACACGGATATCGTTGATGTCGAGGGCAAGGACGGTTCTTGCTTGGCTGAGTGGGTCGATGTTGCCGGTGGTTGGGCTAGTCCTTAGATGGGGTAGTCCTTGGTTATAAGGATTGCAGCATCTAGCGGCATCTAGCAGCAGCGCCTGAAGCGGCACCGCCGAAAAGGGTGGCTGCGTTGACAGCGACTAAACAGCGCAACGTTCAGCGCGAGTTGCTTATCGCGGTGTCAACTTGCGTCAAGTTCCAGACAGAGACCTGAACTCTAACCCAAGAGTCACAGGTGGTGGCTGTGGAGAATGTGTATATGATCACGAAAAAAGACCGGCACATAAGTGCAGCGCAGAAGGTGTAGATTGGATGGATGGATGGAAACGGCTTTTTTTACTAGTTTTCCTCACTTGTATACAGGATCATGAAATGGGCGGGCGGAGGAACAGCAAGCAGGCAAGCGATTGTTTGATACCAAATCTTGCTTGTCTATATATGGTAGAACTTAAGATAGTGTAGGAAGGCAGGCTGGGCGGTAAAGGTTAATTCATCTTTTGTGTAGTACGTTTCTGGCTGCCCGCAAAAGTTTTGTTGTTTATATGTCAAGCCTGCTGTTACCAATCTTCGCACACACTCTACGGAAAACAACTTTCCAGCTGTTTTCAACTTCTCGCTGGACACTACGTCGGCCACACTGGAACCAGTTGCTCAATCAGCCATCTTGACATCGGGGTCTGAAAGCTAAGGTAAGGTAACTGGTAAATGGCCCGATCCTCCAGGTCATCGTCAGTTTGGGGACAGAAATAACTACCACGTCATTTTCACTCCCATCGACACAGACAGTTGGATTGCGATACAAATATGGCTATGACGGAGTGAAAGAGAAGCTGAAGAGGGGTGGTTACACGAGTCGCACGACACGAGCGGGAGTCAGCCTGGCGAGGTGACGAGGTGACGAGGTGACGAGGTGACGAGCCTTCTTTCCTTCTGTGAGCCGACTGGTCCGGCACCGGTGACAAGCTCTTCGGATGTGAGCTGAACTACCTAGGTCTTAAGTAGGCAACGCAAGCAGGAAGGAAACGGGAGAAGAGCCTCTTTGCTTGGTCCATCTTCACTTCTTACCCTTTGCGATACTTCCTCCCGCCGTGTTCTTTCACCACGCGTGGCTCGAGAACTCCACCATCTCATAACTTCCTTGTATTCTGTCTTGGGTCAAAAGATAGGTAGGCAATGGAGTATGGAAACCGTATTCCTTTTCCGACATCTCCGTCTATTCAGGTTCGCAAAGAAATCAGAAACCTGAGGGGCGAAAAAGACAAGACAGGCGGGTGCACATGTACCACGCACCCAAGGACCTGGGTCTTTCTGCTCGGTTACGCCGTTACGGTATGCCTGGGCACAAAATGTTACTTCCCGGACGTTTTCTACCAATATCATGAGAGATTGATGATGAGCATGGCAGTGAGTACCGGAGCACAAAACGGTAGACGGTAGACATGAACGTGGCAAGTTGGACACAAACCTCTCCCCAAAGCTGGTTACCGCGGGCTGTTGAACCGGATGTCAAACGTAAGTGGGTAGGTTACAAACGTTAGGATTGAGTGTTGGTCAGTATGAGATACCAGGGGCAGTAACTACCTCCAAGTATATTTGGCGGCTCTGTTTGACGAGCGTTAAACGCTCATCTGACCCACATATAATCCCTCCGATAATCTTACGGTGTAAACTCGTGAATACAATCCCAGTGATCCTGATCACGTACTATGATCGCACTAAATGAAGACTGGTCTGACAGGCATGCATGCATGCTCTTCCAAGAAGGCGCAACATCTACCTACGAAATGAAGACTCGAGTCACTAACCAGGGAAGCTCGGTAAATGTATCTCACCGGTCATCGCAATCCCTTTGCTGAGTGACACCCAACGACGAACTACCTTACCTTAGGTAAGAAGTGACACGGAGGTGGAAGGAGCGGCCGATGTCATTCGACAAGATCCCATCGAAAGCAAAACCCACCTACTCCAACGGAAAGAACCCGTGTTGCATATATCAACCACTTATAAGGGAAGTCACGATCACATCTCCCCCCATCTCCCAATCTCCATCATTCCATGATGCAAACACCGATTTATTCGGGCAGAACGATTTCTGGATTCTTGCGTAGCTTTCTTGTCTCTCTGAGCCGTCCACCCCTAGAGATAGATAGATCGCTCTGGCCCTAGCATTACTGTCGGATGATAAAAGCTACCCTGCTCATCCCTAATAGTGAACGCCCTTGGCCTCACTCGGCGAGAAAAATGCATGTACAGTAGACCAAAACATGATAGCATAATGGTCGTGTTTATCTTCTTTGCGGATGATGGCGACTTCCAGACTGGCTACGTAGTCGCATCTTGACATTACGGTATGCCAGGTTAAGTACCTGGACACCATCCATTACACCAGGACACGGAAACGTGGGCGTGAAAGAAGGTTTCTTTACGGGGTTGGGTGTTGAGGTGTGAAATAGGGCTATGTCGATCGGCAGGGAGCGACAGGTAGGGAATGTATCACCTTTAATCTGGGTCGACCGAATTCCCGCCCTATAACTGCGAGTAAAGGATAGCTATTGACTTGATCAACTCCGGTTCCCTTTGGTGCTCCGGATTGGCCTGACCTCTTCGATTCTCCGCATGGTCTTTTGGTCTCCAAGTTTTCAGCGAACGTGGAGGCGAACTTACAGAAACAATATGCGGTTCCTTGACATGATGGCTGCTTACTCCTTGAAGAGAGTGTTTGTCCCTGTTGAAGTCTCGATGAATGATGGATCTCGAAGTTCATGTCGGCAGATAGTGAGCTTTCTGGTGGTGATGTTCATCATGTTCATAATGAGCATCTCTTATCGAGGCTCAAGAACATTGGGCGTAGGAAGATTAAAGGAGGAAAGTTAAAAAGCTGAAGCAAGGATCCACGGGAAATACTTGGTGCAGGGGAAAGATGAGGACCGAGAATACTACTGGCTGCACGTTTGGGGGTGTTGTGATTTTACGGCACGCTGTTCACATCGTATATGTGCCCCCCTCATCACTTGTTGACAACCTTCTTTGCCCGCCGTCCTAACTGACCGCTCAGTCTTTTCTACTCTCTGCGTCGTCTGGCTGGACAGTAACAACTCCATTGAAGTACCTGGTATAAGCGCGCGAAGAGGTTGATGTTTACAAGACTGGCCAGTCGGGAGTGCCGGATATCTCCGGACTTTGCGCCATCGGCTGATCAGCCAGTCGAAAAGGCATATTAGCCGCCAGCTCGAGAGCCGCATGCGATGAGACCTGATTGACGGCAAGAAGACGATTTGGGCGGTTTAAATGATTTCAGATCTGATTAGATCAAGACGACTGATCTGTGATAATAATCATCAGTGGGTAGGCGCCGAGGGGAAGTGACATGTGGTGCATATTGCTGCTGTCAAAACCGCACGCTGGCGCGATAGTGAGTGTGGCGAGTCAAACACTTCTGACAGCTAAAGTCCAAACCCGTTGATGCGAAACAGATCCACCGTCGAAACTGCAGTCGCAGTGTCGCACGCCGTTGTCGAGTGTTTATCCTTGGGACGCCTGTTAACTCGAAACGAGTCCTGAAGTTTTGCAACTTCTCCATTCTGATGTTGTGGGAAGTTTTTGAGAATCGTTGTTTGGTTGGAGATCCGAGGCGCTTAAGCAGCTGTAGCTGAGGCTCTGTTTGTGATGAGATGCATGTTTGGCCTTCAAAGTGGCCAGCGGACGGCGCTTGGTGCTATTTTGGGAACATTGTGTCCGTGAAGGGATGATTCTTCCATTGTTCTAGTGGACGAGGTGCAATTCATGTCATGGATTCAAGACAGAAATTTGCACTGGTCATATGATGATATGGCAAACTGGCCTGGAGCCGTAGGGCAGAGGAGATGCCGGAGGCGATACTTGGACGTTGGAGTCTCGAAGCATATTATCAGATAAGAGATGGTCTGGAGATCGATCGTCGAATGTTTTCGCCAATGTCTTTCTTTGGAAATGTTTCGGTAGCATCCGTTTCTTGTCTAGAGGGGCGCAGTTTCGCGGCAGATGGTCTTGCCCGGTTGACCTGTCGATGTTCTGGTGTTGTTGATGTCGAAGGGCAAGAGCGAAGTCTCAAGTGGACCATGAGGAGGGGCACTTTGCAGGGTTCTCCACAGATTGTGTGGTGGGGCAGAGCCCCAATCAGGCATAGCCTGAGACGTCCCTGAGATGTCCCAGACTTTTAGCGAGTTTTAAGGGCCTCCATCCCCGTCAACTGTGGCCGGAAGCCATTGAAGCCTTTGACATCAACATCCAAATCGCAGGGACATTGGCTGGAAGTCTCCACGTTTTATGGGCTCATAACGGCTTTGCATTAAGATGGTGTTTCGACAATGAGAACATGGACACAACCGGGAGGCGACGCAGATCCGGAAGACGACAAACCCGTGGTGATGGTAACCCTTCCTTTGCCCAAGTCGTACACCTGGAGGCTTCGACAGACGACATGTCAGGTTAGCAATTCTGAGGATGTAGGGAGACGGGAGGTAGGTATCGGTGAGATATTCCGGAAAGAGTTGACTGATTTGTTTCCTTACTTGGATAGAGGGATGGAACATTCAGCGATCGACTGTAGAGAGGACGACTGCGGAGAGGATCAGAAAGAAATGTCGAGCCTCAATGATCCGGCAGACAAAAACAGAGGGGTGTTTCAATATGTCAGACGCCCAAACCAAACATGCGAAACAGGCAGAAACGATTGGCTTTACCAGAGTCATCCTCGTTGGTCTACTGCATGGGAAGAAACTTTCGAAGGAAGGAGACGCCAACACAGACGCCAGGATCATTTTAGTCTCTCTGGCAAGAGCCTCAACACGGAACTTTTCAGGGGAAGGAGCCAATCACCACAGCATGACAGGCACCAGGATGGTTTGGTGACACACAGGGCAGGAACGTCTGCCACCCACACCAAAAGACAACGAGGGGAAAGGGGAATCCCGCTCGAACGTTAGACACTCGGCCATTTCTTTCCTCGTCCACTGCACTTCCAGACCACGGTAGGGCTTCGACCCCGATGCGACTCAGGCCATCTCAAAACTTCGGTATCGAAGGAACCCAGTTGTCTCATCGTCTTTCCCAAACAGAGCGAGTGCACAACTCCATTGTTTCTCCAACGTTCCATTCCGTGTTCTTGCCGGGCGAAACCCTTGTTCCTCGGTTTCAACTTGTCACGTCAAACCTTCTTTGCACGGAAACGCCATCACCACCTCGCTTGCCTTCACGACGACGACAGCAATTGAAGACTGAACATCAGTATAGCCGTTGGTGAAAACATTGGGCCTCGAGGCCATTGGCCAAACCCGACAGACTGGTCAGAGGAACCGGCCAACAAACAGACGACAACCGACCATCTGGACCATGGTGAGATGGGTGTGCCGCACTCCGGCATTCTGGCCCCAAGCAATCACATCTCTGTGTCCCCGAGTCAGCGCTTCATGAGACTAATACCATAACTCCAACAGATCAATCACCGGCCATGTCGGGAGGCAAGGACGGCCCACTAGTGTGAGTGCCGTCCGAATCCACGGAGCCCGCGGTGTCAGTGATGATCGTGACGAGATTTTGTTCCGACCAACTCCGCAGCCGTTGCGCATGACATGGCCCAGACCCTCCGATCAACTACCATGCATTGAGGCTTCGCTCATCAACAAGGGTTTTTGACATGGTCGTCTGTCAGATTAGGTTTGCGCACGTCCGTTTCTGACTTCGATTGGCAAGGGTTCGTCTGGGCTGCATGAGAATGCCATTGTCGACATGTACCGTGACACATGCCTACTGACTTCATCGTCTGTCTTTCACATCTACGTCCTACTGATTTATCGTCTCGGAAGTTGTTCAACCTCTGATTCCGTCCCTTTTCCAGAATGTAGTTCATTCCATGTTTCCACTGCCGCCCTCATGATGATACATCACACTCCATGCTCGAGACACGAGCGTGGTGGTACTTCTTTCACAGTCTTGCCTAGAACCTGCTTCTCCCCTTTAGCCTCATCGAGGGTATCCCCCAAACATCTGTAACAAGGCTAAGAGTCTGTGGCTTGCCCCCACTGGTCTGCCCTACTGGATGTTCCTGTGTCCGAGAATCATGCAACAAATAGTGTGCATTATTATCCTTCCCCCTCCCCCTCCATGGGCTTCCTAGGCCTTTTCTTTTCCTTGTTTATACTTCATTTTCCAAGGCCCCTCCCCTGACCTCTTCTACTTGTTATCACTGCGTCGTCGCGTGTGTGTCCCCCTTTCTTCTCCCTTCGCTCCTTCTCCCAAGGCTAAACAGAGTCACTCCTTATTGTCGATCAACAATATCAGCTGTTTACTTTGTCTATCATTTATCTAAAAAGGGCATTCACTCACTGGACCGTATAAGCTGGTTCATTATACAGTCATTCACACCCGACGTTTCCACACCAAGTTATCATACAATCCAACTGTTGTTGTACCCTAGGACCAATCTCGTTTGAGCAGTACCAATTGGAACAAAACAACTCTCGATTCCTAGAGCAGCGAGTTCTACCCATTCTCAACAACAACAGATCTATCGACATAACTTCCTTTCTTGGGACACAACGCCAGGCGCGACTTTCTACCACACTACTTAAAGACACAACCGAGACACGACATCAAGTCGGCATGTCTCCCACAGTGGCTGTGATGACGGCACCCGTCACATTTACCCCTACATCGGATACCATGGACCGCCGTGAATACGGTATTACCAAGACCAAGAAGGCAACCTCTACTGGTGGTGGACGGGCATGGAGCGAGGAAGAGGTATGTTTTGCCACCTTGTGGTCAAGGTTCATCAATCACTAACATCTCATAGGAAGCATATCTTATCCAGACACGCATGCAAAAGATGCCCTACAAGCACATCGCTGCCCACCTGAAGAAGACTGAGCTTGCCTGCCGCTTGCACTTCCATCAGCTAAGCCACGGCAGCAACCGCCGGAAGCGCACAACATCACTCTCGTCTCATGGGTCTAACCAGTCACCTCCCATACATGGTGCTGTTGTATCACCGGTTCGCGAGATTGATGCTGCGCCCAGCCGTTCGGTGTCGCCTGCAGGATCAACGTACTCCTACAGCTCCACCAGCCCGAATGCCATTCAGCTTCCCAGCATCATGTCCGCAACCAGCTCGGCCAACACATCCCCTCGGCTGCCAGCTATTCTACCCAAGCCAGCTGCCATGAGCCTGGACTTGCCCGCGCTCTCTGCTTCTGCTAGCAGGTCCACATCTCCCGCGCCATCACACACCTATACGTCATCCCTACATCCTCACAGTGCTACCTCTGGGTACCGTTCCGCGCCAACCAGTTCTCGTAGATCGCTTCGTCTGGATTGCTCTGCCTTGCCACCGCCGCCTACTTCGGCAGCTACCCCCGCACCTTTCTCTTCCAGCCAGCCGGTCGATATGAGCCGACTATCTGCAGTCTATAACGCACACCGGGCATCCTTCTGGGCCTCGGTGGCTGCCGACTATGGCAACGGAGTTAGCCCAACGGTATTGGAGCAAGCATGGCGCGGTGGAAACACGCAGACACCCATCACTCCTGTTGGAAGTCCGGATGAGCAAGTCTATGCGCTCCCTCAACTGAAGGCAGACAAGACCAGGATAAGTGCCATTCTAGGCATTGATGCTAACCCCAGGAGTCCCAGGGAGCGGGAGATGGTGAGGAAGTTGGAAAAGGAGAGGTGCTCGCTTGGCATGGTTGGCGCATGATATCTCATGTAGATAATCTTTCGTGGGATTTGGCTCCGGATAAGATATATCCAAAATTTTCCTTTTTCGGTCTTGTACAAGTTTGTTCCCTCTCCCGCTTCACTGGTCATGATTTGGATGTATGATGGGCTTTTGTTCTTTTCTCTACTGTCGTTTCTTTGGGATTTTTTGCGATGTTGGCTTGACAGAACCTTGCCGATGCAGACGGGTTGTTCGTTTTGTAAAACAAGGTGAAAGGATGTAAGGGAGTTTGGGCTATAGCACCTACGGGACGGGATGGGACGGGTATGAAACATGACACACTCGAAGACGTTATGGCAAAGGAAACTCCTATGACTTCCCAATTCAGTATCAACACTGCGAGCACAGTTTACGATGGGCATGTACACAAATAGGGACGGGATCTGGGTCGGCGTACGTTGGCAATATTGGGAAACGGGAAGGCGGTCGTGCATAGCAAAGCGAGTGTAAAAGCGAAGACATTTTCATCAATGACGCCTTGTTCATACCCACCATTCTAAATCTCGATTGCTATAGTTGCGACTCACCACGGGTAGGCAATCCGAAGACATCCTTCGCTAAATGTCAAACTCCAGTTGGCTCATATAAGCTGCATCATGTCCTGCGCTGCGCTGCGATGCACTGCGATGCAGAAGAGACGGGCCGGATGTGGTGCGTTATCAGACGTCAGATACCGTCAATAGCCGACGTCCACCACTCGGATGAAGGAAGATTGTGAATGGATTCAGTCTACGGTTTGTCGAGGAGGATGTTTCAAGGACTTGCTCGTAGCAGGTCTATGTGTGCATGAGAGGAAGCCATAAGCGTTTATGAATTTCAGAAGGGGAGGCCATCGCCTTATCTTATAGACCTCTCACGCTCAAACGGTGCGTCCGCCAAGTCCAACCACAACATCAACCACTGTCGCTTACACATTCCCACTTCTGTCTCTCACGAACAGGCTCTTTTTCTCTTTGCCAAATTACGCAAAGAAAACAACGTGAAACGCGCAGATGGTCGCCCCTGCTCTGGATTGATATTCAACCTTTTCGTTTTGTGCGACCTTCACGGAAGCCCTGGTTGGCGACGAGCGCGGGGTGGCGGAGTACAACGAACGCAAATCCCAAGTGTCTCTTCTTCTCATGTTTTCTTCTTCTACTTCGGTTTCCCGTATCTCGATCTTCTACTTTACAACCCATGATCTGTACCCATAATTGAGCCGTGTTTCTCGTCCATTTGTCTTTCCCCTCATGATATTGGATAAAAAGCGCGGCTCGTTGGCTTTCACCATTCCGCCCAACCACCTTGCAATGCATGCCGTCTCAACGTTTCGAGGACGACGCCCAACAGCCCATCTTTACGTTTCCGCTCTTCCAAAGGGACCAAAAGATCCTTGCGACGTTGCGATGTTGCAATTCATGCAGGGCCAGCTTTCCACCCATTTCAGCTGTTGCCAAATTGAGCTTTGGGTAACACAGTCCCTTTTCCGGGTCACGGGACGAGATTCTGTGCGACGATGCCTCAACCTCATCCTTTCATGTCCCGAGTAGCTGCGGTTTGATCGACGATATCAGACATCACCAGCAAGTCTACAACCTTTGATCGACTGCCGAAACTCCATCCTCCGATGAAGCAAAGATCCGGAATATCATGCATCCGAGTCCATGAGCCTAGACAGGCCTTGCAGCAAGAACACGACATTCGAAAGCCAGCATCACCGACCGGAAATCACATGGGCTGATGTCGTCCAGAAACTCCTGATATCAAACTACCACGCCAGGTCAGGGTACAGCACCACAGTATCCAGCGCATAGATTCCACCAGTTCCACACGGACATGTCTCCGGGTTTCACTTGACGGACTGGACAATTCGAGTCAACGACATGGCGTCTCACACATGTCACCATACAAAGGACGGGAGACGATGGATGGTGTGGACGGGAGCAACCAACAGGTTAGCGCACTTGCACGCAGCGTAACCCAACGTTCGGACGCCGGACGGGTACACCCGCATAAGCAGCATACACACCAGCACAGTTGCATCCAACACAGGCAGTCTGGCAGTGTACGAACTTTCCATCATTACGACATTGCTGATGCAGCTCCAGATCTCCCTCCTGCCATCCGCTACCATGCGCTGCCATGTGGCCCCAAATGACTGCTTTGCTTTGTCGGTAAAAGGCCGGGAGTTTATCTCGACATTTGGACAACAATGCTTCAAGGACAAAGCACGACGAACCGGATCGACATCAATATGCCCGGCGGTCCTCCTTGCAATCAGGTTGGACCCGTTGTTCTATCCGATCCAGTCCGGGGCCGAGGCAACGCCAAGCTTCGGCCCAATCCGGCCGCCTTGGACAACGAACCACCGCCACACGGTGGTACTCCGCTGGATATGCTCCGTCCGTCTGGTCAAATGCAGTTCCCGTGCCTCGTCCAGAAGGCTTCCATCGGTTTTCTTTCAAGCAAGTGTATGACGGTCCACAATTCGAAGCTGCAGTCAGTCCCATTGGCAGGTCTGCAGTCCCAAGTAGCCAAAGGTCCGGACGGTTGGTGTCCTTCCCTTCGCTGTTGGTCCTTTATGAAGGTTCCGGGTGGCCTGCCGTCCGTGATAACGCATCTCCGGTAGGTTCCACACTGTTTGTTGGTCCCTTCAATACCCTGCCATTCAAGTGTTCCGTGCATTCCATTCACTTTAGTTTTCCGTTTCCATTTCCGTTTCCGGGGCCGAGTCCCTGAAGCTTAAACTCATGCCAAGATCGTCTTGTTGGCTACCGGGAATACCAGTGAATGAGTTTCAAGCTGTTGCCCTGGTTAACAAGATCCGGATTTCTTGACCCCCAAGGTTTCTTGCAGCATTAGCACCTTTCACCTTTTGGGGGTCAGGAGTGGGCAGTTTAGGACTTGGGTCTCTCCATCGGACCGTAACCGGCCTTCAGCTCTGTTGTCGTGGTGTCCCCATGGTCTTCTCGAATCCTGCCCTATCCCGGACTGCATGGTTGTTGAAGATGGAACCGCTAGCACGCACGCCTAACGGCGGAGACCTGCGACCTGCGACCTGCGAGTCCTCCACAGATTCCACTCTGGCCAATTGTAATCGCGGAAATTGCCCTGACAGAACGATCCCAAGCTTCCACCTCGCCTAGAGCTTAGTCCCCAGCACCCGTGGTTTTGCCGTTACGTGGTACCTACAATTATAAGAACCTCACTGAAAGTAACCAGATGGAAATCGAGACACCATGCAAACAGGCGGTTCAGCCGGTGTGTTGTTTGGGTGTTCGGATCATCAAGCGATGGGCAATTCACTCCATGTCACCCCTTGCCAGTGCTTGCTTGGTGATATGTGCCGCAAAGTGCAGTGTATGTGTGCGTGTGTTATGTGTCATAGCAGAGCAACACTTTGTTCGCATGTCCCTCGTCCCGTCCTCTACAATCGCGCCCTTATTGTTGCCCGTACATAAACCTTCCAAGACCCAGCCCACTGGCGTCATGCGAAGTCCATTCACTCTCAGCCCCTCCTCGCCCTTGCAAGAAAGGTTGCGATGAAACGCTGGAGCAGCAGATCATCCTAATTCAAACGGCTGGAATTCTGTTCACATTGCCATTCACCACATACTTGGAGGGCCATTCATGTCCAGGTACCATTAAAACCGGAAGGACAATTCACTCGACATTCCGATACGTACCCGCCTGGCCAGCTGGGTTTTTAGACCAGGGAGTTTTATATAAAACACCCTCCTCCATGCCACTCTCTCCCCGAAACTTTTTCTCGAAACAAAGCAACACCACCGAGCAGATTTGAGTTCTTTGTCTGCCTTGACATTTTCGACCTAGCAACAGCTTGTGCTTCCTCTTTTCAGCAGAAGAACAGGCTTATTCTTCGTCGACGACAACCGTCAACTTGACTCACCGCCCAGAGATATCCGCCAACTCCGGTTCGATATCAACAATGGCTTCCAACCAAGCTGTCGCGCCCGACGCCGCTCCCGCCGGCCAGGCCACCGAGCCGGGACGCAACGTGCCCAAGGAGGGCGAATACGTCCAGTGGCGTACTCTTCCTGCTGGCAACCCCGACCAGTTGAACCGTTGGTCGCACTTTCTCACTCGTGAGCATGAGTTCCCTGGAGCTCAGGTAAGCTATTCCCATCTCCTTCATCAGTTCACTTTTGATGCTACCCTCACGTCATGACATTCCGCACTCACCCACTGCCGTGCTTAAGCGAATCCCACACACACCCAACACCTCGGGTTGGGGCTCGGCAAAGCATCCCGAGCTCGTACTTCGTCATTCCTATACCTTATACGGATGCGGACGTGGTTCATGAGGGGTAGCTCTGCTGTGGGGTAGTAGCTTCGCATGGGGATAGACAGTGGGATGAGACCCCCTGACATTTGTCAATCATGGATATGACGGATGTGTCAAAGCGAAGTTCGGGATAACTAACACCGATGTTTACGATGTAGGCCATGCTTTACGGCGCCGGTGTCCCCAATAAGGACATGATGAAGAAGGCGCCTCATGTCGGCATTGCTACTGTCTGGTGGGAGGGCAACCCCTGCAAGTGAGTATCATCTCGATATCAGATTGGAGTCAAGGCTGAGGACTAACATGATGATAGCACCCATCTGTTGGATCTTGGCCAGAAGGTCAAGAAGGCGGTTGAGCGCGAGAAGATGCTCGCGTGGCAGTTCAATACCATCGGTGTTTCCGATGGTATCACCATGGGCGGCGAGGGTGAGTTTTCTCTTGTCCGAAAGGGTGATATGATTTTGATACTAACACATCATCAGGCATGCGCTACTCCCTCCAGAGTCGCGAAATCATCGCCGACTCCATCGAGACCGTGACTTGCGCTCAGCATCATGATGCCAACATCTCCATCCCTGGTTGCGACAAGAATATGCCCGGCGTCATCATGGCTGCAGCTCGTCACAACCGCCCGTTCGTCATGATCTATGGCGGCACCATGCGCGGTGGCCATTCGGAGCTTCTCGACAAGCCCATCAACATCGTCACCTGCTACGAGGCATCGGGTGCTTACACCTACGGTCGTCTCAAGCCGGCCTGCCCCAACTCGAAGGCCACCCCCTCCGATGTCATGGACGACATCGAGCAGCATGCTTGCCCTGGCGCCGGCGCCTGCGGCGGTATGTATACCGCCAACACCATGGCCACTGCTATTGAGGCCATGGGTCTTACAGCTCCAGGCTCTTCTTCTTTCCCGGCCTCCAGTCCTGAGAAGTTCAGGGAGTGCGAGAAGGCTGCGGAGTACATCCGCATCTGCATGGAGAAGGACATCCGTCCTCGCGATCTTCTCACCAAGGAGTCTTTCGAGAACGCTCTCGTCCTGACCATGATCTTGGGCGGCTCCACCAACGGCGTCCTTCATTACCTCGCCATGGCTAACTCGGCCGACGTCGACCTTACACTCGACGACATCAACCGCGTGTCTGCCAAGACCCCTTTCTTGGCCGATATGGCTCCTTCCGGTCGTTACTACATGGAGGACTTGTACAAGGTCGGTGGCACCCCTGCCGTCCTTAAGATGCTGATTGCCGCTGGCTACATCAACGGCTCCATTCCCACCATCACCGGAAAGACCCTCGCCGAAAACGTGGCCGATTGGCCTTCTCTGGACCCCGACCAGAAGATCATTCGCCCGATTAGCGACCCCATCAAGCCTCAGGGCCACATTCGTGTTCTCTACGGCAACTTCTCCCCCGGTGGCGCCGTTGCCAAGATCACTGGCAAGGAGGGTCTGTCGTTCACCGGCAAGGCTCGTTGCTTCAACAAGGAATTCGAGCTCGACAAGGCGCTCAAGAACTCCGAGATTACCCTCGAGCAGGGTAACCAGGTCATCATCGTCCGCTACGAGGGACCCAAGGGCGGCCCGGGCATGCCGGAGCAGCTCAAGGCCTCAGCGGCGATCATGGGCGCCGGCCTTACTAACGTCGCGCTTGTCACCGACGGCCGTTACTCTGGTGCTTCGCACGGTTTTATCGTCGGCCACGTCGTCCCCGAGGCGGCTACCGGCGGCCCCATCGCCCTTGTCAAGGATGGCGATCTTATTACTATCGATGCTGTTAGAAACAGGATCGACGTTATCAAGACCGTTGAGGGTATCGAGGGTGAGGAGGAGATCCAGAAGGTCCTCGATGAGCGCAAGAAGGTCTGGAAGGCACCTGTCATGAAGCCTACCCGTGGTGCGCTTGCCAAGTATGCGCGCTTGGTTGGTGATGCTTCCCATGGAGCCGTTACCGATCTTGGTGACTCTGCTTACTAAACGGCGGACGCGGCTTCCCACGACACGAATTCGTACGGGATTCCAGCAGATTTCTCAGCGGCCATTTACAGGACAGGTGCTGAGGAACAAAGAGGGGGGAAGTGAGGAAATGGGGATTTGTTTTCCCTACCTTTACTAGATTGGCTTTTTATATAGGCGGCTACTGCATCTTGACTTCTGCTCTTGCTTTGGCTTCAGGGTTGTTGTCTTTCCTTGATTGCATTCAAATGGCTTTCATGGCGTCCAAGGGGTCTGGTTTTGTCTTTACACCGTGGCAGGCAAGGGGAAAGGGAAAAGTAACATAGACAGACAGACAGATAGATACATAGATGGAACTTGCTTGTTTCTGTTAATCTTTGCGAGCATAGGTAAAAGCTAAGGGTACCTGGGTATGAGCGCCAGGTGATGGTGATTTGTGAGCGATATAAGTTTTGGACGTGCTTGTTCATTTACTTTCTTTTCTATCGGACTGGTCGCTGTCATCGCTGGATAATTCAGTGTTGTCTCCGTTGTATAAAGCTCCTGCCAGTCATGTCTTCTTGGCATTGGATAGGGAGCCTTCTTGCCAATACGGTTAGACACGCGCGTGACAGTGAAGATGGTGAGCTTTTTTGCAGGATTCTTTTGTATCGAGGTCAACCGCCGAAACATGAACCTGGCACGCACAAAAAAAAAAAAAAAAAAAAAAAAAACAGCAGTCCAGACCACCCACCCCAAATGAAAAACAAGAACAAGAACAAAACCAAGAAAAACGAGGCAGAGTCAGAGTCGTGTCAAGTATTTCCGCTCCAAGAATAATTCCATAGAGTGCCGCCACCTACCTCTACATAGGTATGTTTCAGACTTGTTGACCACAGTTGCTGTCCCGATAGGTACCTTAGGCAGTAAGTAACATGACCCCCATCTTTGTCGGGCCCAGCGCAGCGTACATGAACATGTCTTGTCTTTCCTTCCTGCATTGAACTGATCGTTGTATCCAATCTGGAGTCAAGGCTGTATGAAAATGCAAATTTCGCTCTTGTAGACGTTCCGTAGGCATATACATTTTACTTTCCGACTCTCTGACGTTCGACTTTCCGACGTTCGGTTATCGAATCTGCCCGGGTTCCGGTTCACAGTCACTAACCCGCTGTTTACTTACCCAACGTCCCAAACTGACCCCCATCCCCAACCCCATCTTACGGTTCGGCGCCAGATTATCTGAAGCTTGAAGCTTGCAGTAGCCAACTCTATAAGTCAGGCAGGTCAGGTCAGGTCAGGTCAGGTCAGGTCAGGTCAGGACAGTGTCGATGGTATTCTACACGTATACGAACACACGTAGCTGTGGGAATGTTTCCCCTGGAAGTTTTTGGACGAGGATGATGACCGGACAAGAACATGAAATGTTTTGGGTTAATAAGTAAGGTATAATCGGCGTACATTTACCGATTTACCCATAGAACCACATAGTGTTTGCATCTATCCACCCAGCTAGGAGTGAGGATCAGGAGAAAGGAGACAGGAGGGTTAGTCTAGTAAGAAACTGGGGGTTTTCAAAGGTTGTGTTGTGGGAATTGGATATTGGACATTGTTAGACGTTGTTGGACTTTGCCTGTCAATACTTGGGTGATAAAATCTTATGGTCGTCCTGCTCGTTTTTATGATCGCATACAGTACTGTGGTGTGAGGTTGAGGTTGAGGTCGTTGAGGCTCTTACAGTCCAGAGCGAATACGTACTGGCAAGCCATCCAGTACCTTGTGAAAGGGATGGATACATTAGGTTAACGACCTTGGAGCAATGGATGGGAAGGGGTAGTTGAGTTGGACCATCCATTTATATAGTACAGTATGAGACTATTGGGTCATGGGCATATGTACATTGCTATACTCCGTTGACCTTGTCGAGAAGTGTACCTGGGAAGTTGTGAAAGTCACCAAAGTCACTGAATTAATGACCAGGGTTGGTGGGGACTTGGGACCTTGGGACATTTCAAACGTGGGGAAGGGTCCGAAGTCGTGGGTAGGGTTAGATGAGCCGTTTTGACTTTCCACTTGGGCGGTACTGGTACCGGTACTTTGTCATAACCCTGTGCCGTTCATGGTGTTGACTGCTGTCACCGACTTCGAGACATCACAAAACTTTTGTTAGCAAGGTTTTGTTTCTTCTTCTGATAGCTAGTATCCAACGGTGCGTGACCTCCATTACTGTCAGGTAAAATGCCTTGACGACTGCTGAACTCGCCAATTTCAGCGCGACTTCCAATTCCTTCATGAGCAGTTCCTCAAGTCCGAGAGAACTCGGGTATGTACTCTAGTCCGAGGTAGCCGAGAGAGTTGTACGTTCTGTTTCAGTTTTGGGACAGATGTGTGTATCTTGGTAGACAGATGTGTGTGTCTTGCTTTGTATACCTGCCTCTCTCCCATTTCGAGATGTGGCGCTCGCAAGAACGGGAAAGCCATGGAGTGTTCAACGGTGCTGTGGTGACAAGATCACCTCTCTACTCTTCTGCCGTTGAAATTCGGCATCCTGGAGGTAGCTGCAGTCCCGGCCTGAAGTCCGGCTCAAAGCCGGCTCTATACACCAAAGTAGCTGGATTGGGGTTTCTCGTAATTGATGAGTGATCGTCTAGCATGTGATGTGGCTTGGGTTGTACCAGGGCATCTCGAGGGTCCATATAAAAGTCGATGGTCGATAATGGTGACACGCAAGAACTGCATGTAGCGAGAGTGCATCGTACCACCAAGCTTTTGTGGGCGACGCGTCGGTCGGTTGGTGATTGTCTAATAACGGAATTCGACGAGAGGGATCGAGACGGATGGATGGATGGAGGTTGGGAATTGGTTGGTCTACCGACAGGCCGGCGTTCCCGTCCGTTAGGCTTGATGCTCCTCGAAATCTGACATGGCGATATTTCTCTCGGAAAAGGCGTTTTTTGGGTGCATCATGAAATTGACAGGACGATGAACGGAAAGAGGTTAGCAAATGAACTTGTCGAGGAGGAGAAGGGTCTCTTTGGTGGCTGGTGGAGTACAAAGTCCAGGCCGCTTGTTTTTAGCTCAGACACAAACCCACAGCAGCAGTGACTTGTATGCACTATCGCCAGAGGTAGAGTGGAGGTACCGGCCGAGGAGGTACTGTACAACCAAGTACTCGGATCGGATGTAGCATCATCTGGGCCATTGTCGCGCGACCTTCAGAAGCAGATTCGTGAGTTGGGGTTGATGAAAATGAGAAAGACCGCCCTGTCGACATTCAGTTCTCTTCTCATTTGACACTGAGGCGCCCATTCCCAGCCTGATGGCCTTTCCTTCTGCTCCGGGACTTCCTTCACTTCCTCTTGCAAGTGGAATGCCTGCAGCAAGTGTCTGACAGAGGTGCAGAATGGCCTGTGCACGGTCCTGTCCTTGGCAAAAAGGTACGTACCGAAGAGGGGGTGGATGAGGGGTCCAGACTTCCAGCTCATCCCTGGCGTCCATGGAATTTAAGTTGACGCCAAAACCGAGAGCTCCCTTCCCCATTCACCCGTATTCTGATCATTACCACCAGATATCCGTTTTCGTGAGGCCGGAAGACGAAATTGCCAAGGTATGGTAGGATTAAAGATATCGATATCGGTGACGCGAAAATGCAATGAGATAAATCAAGACATTTGGCCGGCTCAGCTGTGAATGGTGGCTTGGAGAAGGAAAATGGCCAATCATTGTTGCGCCCAAGCCTTCTTTCGTAATCTCCAAAAATCTTGAAATGTTGATTTTACGAGTGAAAGAAGTAAAAACACGTAACCACTTCCCATTCACTGAACATCTCCATGGAGTCAAAGACGTCTGATTTGATTTTTTTTTCTTTTCATCTGATCTGGCCATTGACCATTGCATTTGCATTACCGACGGGCTTGTTTGTTCGATCCAAGACTTGACGACGAAAGCCTCGAGGCTGCAGTGCCGTGTGCGTACCCGAGTCTTTCATGACTTCATCACCTGGCAACCCCTCCATTCCCGCCATCCCATCCCAACCGACGGCCCGGCAAGCAGGTAGAGCAGGAGGAATCGGTCCGGCGTCTTAAAGAACAGACGAGATTCCAGTCCGATTGTGTGGGTCACCCGCTCAGAAAAAAAAACAGAGCTTTTTCGTGACATCCCCGCTTCCATCGGTCCCCCAAAACAGCTGCTCCCAGCTTTGACAGCCGCAGAGGTACCTTTGAATCGAGATGGAATAGCATCCAGCAACCGAACAAACACCGCGGTCCAGGAATTCAATCCGGACATCTCGGTCGAGACCAAACCAACGAAAATCAAGGGATTTGCCGTGACCCACTCCTTCCCTTCCACTTGCTCAGTTCTCTCCCGTCTCCGAACATCGATCTTCTTGTTGCGCGCGCGTTTGCACTTTCCCAGTCACAAACAGCTTTCTGCATCCAGTGCCGCCTTCCCCACCCGACATACCGGCCTGCCGCGCTAGAGCCAAATTCCCAAGGCAGCTCCAAACTGCCCGCCCCAGCCACCCCTCCCCAGCGCAACTCTCTCTTTTGACTCGAGGTCCTCTCCAGGTTCTCTCTCCCGTCGAGGTACTTCCTGTCCATCAGCAGCAGTCGAGAAAGAAGCGTCCCCTCGTCCCCCAAGACCCAAGACCCCTCCCAGCAATCAGCAGCAGCAACAGCGTCAGCAACAGCCTAGCAGCAGATCACACACTGGGAACTCTGAGAGTACTTTGCAACAACCCTCCATCGAGGTCAACAAGAAGTTCCCCTTCCTCTCGCACATCACCCCGTCACTCGACAATACCTCAACTCTACCTCCACCAGAGGTTTTCTGCAATTCTACCAGAGACGTCAAAGTCACCTCTACACATACCTTTGCATCGCATATCGCACGTCGCTCCGGTCATTCGGGACTTGGGTGCAACTTTGAACCGAACCTTGAAGACGAAAAAAAGTTATTGACACGGTCATTTCTGCCAGTAAGTGCATCTTTCTCATCATCCTTTCGAGTTACTACTGAATGATCGATATCCCCCCATCCCC